CTATATTAAACCAAATCTGGTAATTTCTAAACAAAAAATGAAATTTGAAGAGTCCAGTTTCATAATAAATTTTTAGATTATGGAATTGATTTATAAATTTAAGTATTTAATTAATTAAGGAAATGTGATAAATCTTTGTCATAAACTTTCTTAGAATTTTTCAGAATTATTAATAATTTATTTTTAGAAAATGCTTTCTAAAAAATGACCACAACATGTTTATTGAGTATTCTGTAGATTTATATGAATTTTAGAGTTGTATAAGTAATTTATTTATCATTTTAATTGCAAGTTAGACATTCTGAAAATTTTGACAGATTAAGGAGGAATAAACAATTAACTCTTCAATTGTTTATTTGGACTAAAATTTAATATTGTGCTAGTCTAATCTTGTAGATTAAAAATCCATGCATGTGTGTGATTATGATTTATTTCTTTTTGATATCTACATTATTATTTCATACCATGGTTTAAATTAATTGTTTATATAAATTTTGTATATTGATTTAATTTTGGTGTGACATGTGTAACATTTATGTTGGGAATTTTAATGAGTTGGTACAACATTATTGGTGAATAAAATTGGAATTATTTTTTATCAATATAAAAACTAATTGAAACGATTAGCAGTTTATACAAGGTTAACAATTGAGGGTTAATATCGATTGTTCAGGGTGAGTCCTGGTTTTTAATAATTTTTACGTAAATTACGTCGCGAAACCCTAAGATGACACAGGGCTTATTTGAACCCTTATCGGTATTTGGTTTTGGAATAAATGTAGATGTGCGGGTGGCACGCAGGGAAATTATGTACCCCTGGCAGACCGTTCCCTTGGGACAGACCACGGATGCCACGACTTGGGTATATAACTCCGGGCGTAGGCATCTTTGGTAGTTCTTGAATATTTGACCAAGGGGAGGGATGCTTTCAAATTAACCGTGGCCATGACTTAGCGGTTAGTAAGAAAATCTCTTTGGTGAGATTTTAAGTGTCACCTAAACTATTAAAATTGTCGAAATTTTTATAATGGTTGTTACATTTATCATCCTATTGAATTTTACTATTATTTTAATTGTCATGATTTGATTATTTTCTCTTAAAAAGAATGGTAGGTTGGTTACGTTTTCTTACTGTGTTGCAAAACTCATGACATATATTTTGTTGCCTTGGCGTTTCATGCCAAATTATGTCGAAGAAGGGACTGAGGCTGAATTTGGAGTTGCTGCTAATATTGAATCTTGGCTAACTTAAAGTCAAGACTCTATCGAAATAAAATTTTATTATCTTTGGTATTAGTAATTACGAATGTTATAAAGTTGTTGTAATACTATATGTGGACTCGTAATTTAGTTGTTAAGCTTGACTATGTAAAAATCTAAATTTCTCTGATTAATTGTTAAGTTTTTATTTAGCAAGTTATTTGTTATTTAAATTTTATGATGTTCCAAAAGAAAATTTAGGGCGTCATAATGACGAGGTTTCTATTACTGATGTGAATTCAGTCAAGCTTGAGTGGTTACAAAATCAGTTTGCTGGTGTCATAAATTCAGACCTAGAGGAGGCCATAGAGTGCGTTGCTAGAGCTTATTTGTTGTTTCTGTTGGGATGTACACTCTTCAGTGACAAGAGTGGTACCAGGATTCCTGTTGTTTACCTTGGTTTATTGATGGATTTAGGATCCATTCATATTTATGCGCTGGGGTGCTGCTGCATTAGAATTTTTATACAAACAATTGGGGTATGCTAGTCGGTCCGGTGTTAAGCAGATCTGTGGTTATATGACTCTTCTGGATGCGTGGATTTATGAGCACTTCCGAGCATTTCGACCTCTCTAGAACATGTGCTACAATGAAAACATGCCACACGTGTACCATTAGACATCTAGGAGAGAGGCGGGTTCCTCTATTGATCATTTGAAATATTTTCGAGCGAAGCTTGACAGTTTGGTAATAACTGATGTAAGTTTACTCGTCCTGAGATAATTTTAACACTTTCCATTTATCTTACCCTTTATATACTTTAATTCAAAAACACTTTATGTTTACAAGTTATTTGGGATCCATACCAGAATTTTAGAGACCGGCATTCATGTAACCCGGTTACGTTCTACCATGGATGCTTGAAGTGCTTAGACGTGGTCAAACCCTATTATCCAAATAGAGTTCTGAGACAGTTTGGCAGGGTTCAAACCATCCCAGATGCACCTCTTGCCCCACTCATGGTACCCGAGGCAACATATCTACACAATATACAATCATGTATAAATACTTGGATAGGATCTGGGAGGTTTGGGATAACCACGTGTTATCTGAGCAGCGGAGGAGCACACCAGTTCGTTAGCCTTGTGAAGCATACCGGGTTACATGGATTGGTATAAGAATATCACGAACCTATATGTTGAGCGCACTGATGGGCCACGTATGCATGAACATCAGGATTTCAGCCAACATGCCAATGTAATATATTATCCTCTTTTATACATTTGTAACTTACTTTTACTTTTATGATATATTCCCTAAAATGTGATTTTCTTTTCAAATGCAGCGTATTGCACATGCATTGAGGATTGCACATCCTATAATTTAGGCTAGTTATGAGGACGGGATTCGACTTCCTTATCGACTTTACCAGGTTATCGAGGCTATGACGCATGTCCTTGAAGGTCAGCACATTGACGAAGCTGGAACTAGTTCTGCTAGAGGTTGCTTTTCATCTCCGACATTGACATACAGTCGTAGGCCTAGTTGTAAGCATACAGATGATTCGTGACATGTTATTTGACAATTGATGAATTTTTTGTGGTGTTTTTGTAAGCTGACATTGCTGTACACATCTTTTAATGACATTATAAAAGATATTTTGTTATTAGAATGAAATGGTAATAATGGTCAATGACATTGTAAATGATATTTTCTTATTAGAATGTAGTGGTAACAATGATCGATAACATTCAATCCATGCCACAGAATACATCAACATCAAAAAACACATCTATTAATTTCTTCCATAGTTCTAACATTGTCAAATGCATACATGTGTCATTCGACATCAACAACATCAAATGTCTCTTGAATAGCTATAGTATCATGAACAACATCCGGTTATTCTTGATGTACCGTTGCCATCATGTTTTAACTTCTTTATTGCTCTATATTGGCCACTCCTCTCACAAGCAAGATACATCCTGGGTCTTTTTTTTCTTTCCACCATAGCCTGATGTTTTGATTATAATGACCAAACCATTTCTTTTTCTAACTTCACGTACCCAGTTGAGCAATTCATCATTACTTTTGACTTCTTACAAAGTCAAATAAATATTATCAAACATTTACATTTGTTGAGCAATTCAAAACACAATCATTATAATTTCGTAAAGCGAATCTGTTCAGTTGTGAATTGAGTAGTGTAATCTAACACACTATCCAAGCAAAACCTGACTTCCTTTAGTTGAGACATATTCCTGCAAGTTTTATATAACATTACAAATTTGAAATGGCATTATAAAGACAAATTTGCAATTTGAAATTGTAAAATTTAGTATGAAATTTATGAATTTGGAATATAAAATGAAAAAAAAAAAATTACTTCATTCGGAAGTATAATGTCTAAAAAAATGCCACTGTTCGAATGTAGTTGTCCGAATTATTTTTAAAGGTTTGGAAGTTGAATGTCGAAAACTTTAAATTATATCGGAAGACACCTTCCGAAATGAACTAATTATTTCGGTAGTAGACTATCGAATAAATTAATATATTTCGACCCTGATTTTCCGAAAGAGGCTGAAAAAAAAAAAAACAATTTTTACATAGCAAAACTCACATTTCTTTGGCTATCTTTTTCATAAACATTTATCTACTTTTGAAAATCTAAATTTTGAGGTTTAGTGTGTAAACTAATGAAAAGCTAAGAATCAAGAATGATGGTGTTTAGTGTGTAAAAACTAATGAATGGAAGCTAACAATGTGGGTGTTTAGGAAATTGTTATTTTAGTAGGCTAAAATTTTTGTGTTTGGGAAGATAGTTTAATTTTTTTGTAGTTGGATGTGATGTTTATGAGGAAAAAAGTGAAATGATTATGGGTTTGATGTAATATTTTGTCTGATTGACTATTTTAGCCTATTTTGTCATTTTGTAAATTTTAGCCAAAAAAAAAAAAGTCTTTGCCAAACACTAAAGAAGGGTTTGAAAGAATGATGATGGAATGTGGAGGTTTAACAAATTGGATATGAAAGCTCAAAATGAGTCTGAGATGTAGATATGGAGGTTCAAGGTGAGTGTGGATGTATATTGAAAACTTGTGTTTATTTGAATTGTGTGTGGAAGTCATGATAGTAATTTCACTTAGAGATAAAAGTGTAATAAAAATAAGTATCATTAAGTGTGTGCACTGAGTGAAATAGATGTGTGCAAATAGAAGTTCCCAGTTTTTTCTTAAAATAATAAAGAGTAAATTACACTTACACCCTTGAGATTTGAGTTTAATACATATCATCTCATGACATTTGAAAATTACACTAACTTATTATTATTGTAATTATTTAGACAGAATAAAAACATTAAACTCATGTACTCTTTCTTTTTTTACTTTGCTTTGCTTATGTTTTTTTCCTCTTTGCTTTGTTTTACTTTATTTTTTTTTTCAACGTAACTTCTGATATTTTTTTTATTAAAAATTATTATTTTTTATATAGATAAAAATTTATAAAATGAGACTGTTAATTATATGGATGAAAATAATTTTTAGAATGTCAGGTGGAATGTAATGGGACAAAACGTCTCAGGATGTCATTGTAATTTAACCAATAATAAAAAATAAAAATGTCCAAATAGCCTCGTGGAATTGATGTTATCCCAATCCCACCCTCATTTCTCACCAATTCCTACCTAATCTATCGACCGAATTACAGTCTTAAAGTTCTCCCCTCCACCTTCTCGTTATATATAGAAATATAGATACATACATACACACACACACACACACACTGATAGACACACCTATTCTCTCTCTCTTTCTCTCTTATGGCGTCCTTGTTCTGTTCCATGAAATTTTTGGTGGTCCTCTTCGTCATATCGGCGGTCCCAATCGGCGTCCTGATATCACTGGAAACAGCGAAGCCAGCGAGCCACGTGTATCACTACCACAGTTCAGGGTGGCTGAGGGAGTGCGCCAAGTGGGACGATCTTAATCGGCGATTCCTGGTGGCTTTATTTGAGGGCGGTGTGGCTGAGATCCGGGTGCCGGACGAGGATCCGAAACCCTTGGAGGAAGTTCCGGTGATAAGAGAAGCTGAGTTGGCCGGAAACGCGTCCCTGGGTATTGTAATAGACCGGCCCAGGAATCGTCTGATGGTGGTGTTCGCCGACGCCTTCGGAAACCGGTACGGTGCACTCGCGGCCTATGATTTGACCACCTGGGACCGTTTGTTTCTCACTCAACTCACTGCCTCAGGTATGACTATGAACTATGACTATCAGCCCAATCACCTCTCTCCTCTTCGATATTTCCAACCGAACCCAACCCAACCTCATAGAATATTGACAAAGCACAAGAGCTTTATAAAAATAAGAATTCACTCGAACAAGTATTATTAAAAATAAAATAAAAATATTTTAAGGCAAGTAATAGGAATTAAGTGGGATTATATTCAAGTTTTGTTTGTTTAATTTTTTTTCGGTGGTATTACATGTATTAATTAATATTATACTATTATTATTAACCTCATCTATTATACAAATTATAAAAATTTAAAATTTTTAAAATTATCACATCATCTATTAAATACTAATTAATATATTAATTAGTACATATAATATTATTCATTTTTTTTTACAAAATAACATTTAATATATTATTAATTAAATTACAATGCAAATTCATTTTTCTCTGTAAATACTCTATAAGGGTAAATTATCAATAAGTCATAATTGTTGGACTTAATTCTTATTAAATTCTATTAAAAATAAGTTTTGATAAAATTGTCACTAAAAATAAATTTTTTTGTAATTATTTTTTATATATGTCGCTAAAAATTATAATTAGTGATTTTTTTTATAAATATTTTTTTTATAAGACTTATTAAATATTAAGTCCGCTTATTAAGATCTCCACATAACTACCTAAATTTAAATAAAAAATCTTACTGAACTTAGACATGTAAAAGTACCCTTCCAATAACCCCTTGGCATGTAATAGAAAAATGTTAGAACTAATAAGAGACAAAGTTAAATAAAATTTGAAAATTTAGGTATTTATCAGCATAAATGAGGAATTAATATAAAAGGATGGTTTTTACCATATAAATTAAGGAAAATGTTATGGACCCTAAATAATTTATCAAATTTTTTACCAAACCTCTCACATGGGTCTAGGATCCACACAAATCAAATGTGTATGGATCCCACACCCATGTGAAAAATTTAGTAAAAAATTAATAATTTATTTGGAATCCCTAGCACATAACTCGTAAATTAATTAAAATTGAGGAAAACACTCCAATAATTAGTCGAACCCTCTCAGTCTGCCGTATGCAAGGATTTATTTAATGAGACCTCGTAATTAGTGCCTTTAGTGGTAGGTGGCATTGTCATATAAATTGTAAATATATTCAACAACAATGATTCATCCCACTAATAATATCACTACTAATAGCACTAATATATTAAAAAAGTAAAAAAAAAAAAAAATACAACTCCAAGATTAAAACATCACATCATTAATGGCGGGACCCACTGCCACCTAATTAGTGAGAGCACTAATTAATGATGTGATGTTTTGATCTTGGAATTGTATTTTTTTTTTTTTTTAATGCATTAATGCTATTAATGGTGATTTTTTAGTGGGATGAATCATTGTTGCAAATATATCTGTCCCAGGGCTATTCTGCTCCTCTTTGTTGCTGATATAGCTCTAGATCCACCAATCAGGTTTCAGATACTTTAGAATTGTGATAAACGATATAAAATTATGAAAAACTTCCAACTGGTGAATATATTATTCTATAGGTTTTATAATAATCAACAATATTTTTTATTAAATATTATTAAAATATTAATAATTATTAATTTTTAGTGATAATTTAAAAATAAATATGAAAAATATCATTAATTATAAATTTATTGTTTAAAAAAATATCACTAATTATCACTAATTATAGTAAAAAAAGTATTAGTTTTAAATTTTTAGTGACAGTTTAAAAAACGTCATAAAAGTCATTAATTGTAAGTTTTAGCTATAATTTATAAAAATCATGACAAAAAAATCACTAATTGTTAATTTTTAACGACATATACAAAAAATCATGACAACAAATTATTTTTAACGACGATTTAGTAGGACTTATTTTTAATATTACTTGATGAGAATTAAATCTAATTATTAGGATTTATTGATATTTTTTTCTAAAATTATTGGGTACTAAGCATTACACATGCATTTGATGAATGAAAAATTATAAATGATAAGTGAATTATTTTTAACTTTTTGGGAAGTGGGTTAAAGCCTCTTCTCAACTTTTAGGAGTTGTTTAGAGTGCCTTAAATAAGTATATTTTTTTATTTTTTATGAAATATGAGTTGGGTATAGTTTGGGTTTGAAATGATGTGATAGAGAGGTGATGTGACTTAAATAAGATGATGTGACTTAAATAAGATAGTGACTTTTGAATTTTTTTGAGGATGTCAAACTTGGCCTTAATCTATTTTGAATTACATCATCTCTCATATTTTTTACATTTTTTTTAAAAAAAAGTCAAAAAAATTAAATTTTAATCATTTTCTCAAAACATCCCATAATAATTTTTTTTGTATTTTTTAAATGTCTTAAGTACACATCTATAAATAATAATATTACATAGTATAGTAGTCAAAAGGCTAATGAATGATTACTCGAAAACAATGATAATCTCTTTTGGTCGAATTTTGATTTAATATTTTGTGACCCAAGTAGCAAGATGGAGTTGAATCACTTTTTGAGCTTTTTAATATATATATATATATATATTATAATAATTATATTAAAATAAATAATTAATTATTAAAAAAATTAGTAATATATATTTACAAGCTCAATACCAAACAAACACCACATAACACAAGAAAGATCCTCATAATACAGGGGGAAAAAAACTAAAGAAATTTTTTTAGTGTAAAAAAAAGAAAAAATCATTCATTTGGCAAAAATTGGTCAAACTTAGGGGTGTAATTTTGTTGTGATTTTTTTACACAAAAAAAAAAAAAAAAAAAAAAAAATTGTATTCCTCGTGTGTTTATATTATTTTTGATCTTATTTGTAATTTTTATATGTAAAATTTATTTGGAATGATGCACACGTTAACAAATGTTTCTTTTTATAATTACAATTCACATTTTGACTCATAATAAAACAACTACTAAATATCATATCTTAAATTTTTTGGTCGGAAATTTTCAATTAGGTATAAATGGTAGTTGGCACTCCATCTGTTTCTCAACCAAAATGGGGAGCTTTAAATTGTGGTTTCGTGCAAGATGTAAATTACTTATACTTGACCTTTTAGTGGTGTTGGAGCTTACCAAATGCATGTTCCACCCATTGAATTATTTTGTAAACACGAAACCCCCTTCCTGAAAAAAAAATTTATATTCTTTATTATATTTTATTTACTATACAATGTATTATTACTGTATTCACAATAAATATAAGTCATAAAACTCATTAAATGAATACCATTGTGACATTTAAAATGATATGAAAAAAAGTTAACAATGCTATTGAGCATTGTTTAATATTTGAATTAATGTAATAAGAGTTTTGAAAATTAGTTAAAATTAAAATGAGTTTTAAAATTAATAAAAAATTATTTTGAAATTAGCGAATGACGTCTCATGTTCTTCTTTTATTTATTTACGGTTGTTTTCTTGGACCTTAGATATCTGTTAGACAAAAATATATTAATCTATAGTCAACAATCAGTTGGTGATAAAAATATAAAATTAAAAAATATATATGTAATTGAAAGGTTAAATGTCAAACACTTTCTCTCTCTCTCTCTCTGAGTGAAGTGCATATTATGGAGTAGACGTCTAAGTCCGTGCCATGAGAATATATTTTGATTTTTTTTTTAATATTAATTATGTGTTGAATTTGATCTTGATTATTATGATTGTAATTTATTATAATATCATATATGATAAAAAAAATATAGTATTTGAATTTGAATGTCTGGTTTCTTCAATTGTACAGACGTGAAATCCTTCGCAGATGATGTAGCAGTTGACGAAGAAGGTAACGCATATGTCACCGACGCCAAAGGAAACAAGATTTGGAAGGTTGGGGTTAAGGGAGAATTCCTATCAACCATAACAAGCCCACTCTTCATTGCAAAAGAGTGGTACAAAAACTTGGTTGGCCTTAATGGGATTGTTTACCATCCAAACGGTTACTTATTAGTCGTCCACACTTTCTCTGGCAATCTGTTCAAAGTCGAGATCAGGAAACTAAATGAAGTTAAAATAATTGAGGTGGCTGGAGGGCCATTGTCATTTGGAGATGGGTTAGAGCTATTCTCTCCCACTAAGCTCGTGGTAGCTGGGAACCCTTCGAGGATGGTGGAGAGCTCTGATGACTGGGAGACGGCCTCGGTTGTGAGCAAGTTCAAGGGACCTATGCATCGGATAACGACTGCAGCGACGGTGAAGGATGGGAAAGTGTATTTGAACCATATATTGGGGTTGGGATACCCTAGGAGGAAGCATGCCCTGGTTGAGGCAGTTTTTTCTAGTTAGAGAAATAGGGGTAAGATTATGAAAACTTGTGTAAGTTCAATTTTCCACAACCATTGTTGGTTTTTGAATGAAATTTATGTTGAATTGGCTTTGGAATGTATTAGTGAAGAACATTGTTGGTATTTGAATGAAGTTTGTTTCTGCCACCACTTCTTGGGTGATCTGCACAGGTGATCCAAAATGGTAGGTTTGGTAATATTGCAAAATTGTGTGGTGCAACTTTTTATTATTTATATCCCTCTCTTCCTCATCTTTACACCGGCTAAATAATTTTAAATTTGTACTTCATGAAACTTCAACTACCGTCAACTACCCGAAAAGAACTGTATCGTGGAGGAGGCGATAAAGCAGATGAAAACTCCTGTGACATTCTTGAATGTAACAAGTCTGTCAGAATACAGAATAGATGGATCCATCTGTATATGGAAGAAAATTTGGGAAGAGCTACTCTTTTACGTGTTCAAGATTGTAGTCATTGGTGTCTTCCTGGTGTTCCGGTATCTCGAATGAATTGTTGTATTTTCATTTGTGAAAGAAGAGATTTTGTAGAGTGATGTATTTCTCAACTTGGATATCCTTTCATTTCTTCCTCGCATGTTAGTTTAGCGAGGTAGCACGTAAATGTTCTCATTTGAATTCATTTTTTTGAGAAGAGAAAGAGGTTCTTTGATTTTTATTCTACCCATTGCTCCTTTGCAACTTTTCTCAACATAAGATTTGCATACCATCCAAAGAAACAACATAATTACTGAATGTAAATAACATCATTACCGTAAGATTACAGCACTAGTATCCTGCAACAGCATTTTCAATCTCTTATTCTTTATGTATATTTTCAGTAAATAGCTAGAGAACTTTCTAGCTTATTGCCAAGCAATGTGTTTGTTTTGACCTCTACAAATATTTTAAGGCACACATACATGTATACATACTTCTCCACCGCATTTCATAAGGGTTGGCTCACAACATTGACAACCGTATCTATCAAATCAGTGTAGCTTGGATAGAAAAATTTGAAAATAGTAAGGAAAACACACCTACAGCTATACGCAATGTTGAGATGGTTCATCAATGAGATTGGTGTTTCTTTGCTCGACCTTGAGAAATTGAGGAATCATCTCCTTTCAATCCCTCTGGTTTTCGAGCCCATGCTGGTGCTTGATCAGGTCCGTAACGATAATCATAGAAGAGCTCCTCACTAGCATCAATATGGTCCTTGGCAAAAATTCCAACTCGATGATCACCAGCCACGAGCATTACCTGTAAAAACCATCATATTGGGTCAGTCGATATATCTAATTCCACAAAGAGAATAATGGAATTACACACACCTTGGCATAACAGTTGGGGTTTGATGAATGGTTCGCAAATTTCAGCTTGTCTCCTTTGCGGTATGCATCAAGGACATACTGTGAAAGAAAGAAAGAGCTGCTTTAAGATTTCTCATGTTATAATGCCACAGTTTAAAACTACAATTCTTTTTCCTATTATTCCCTCTGGATGAACGACTCAACAACAGCACCTCAACCTTTGGCCTATTTTCTTTTTCTTCTTGTTTATTCATCCGAGGGGATTGCTATGACTACCTGTTCTCCACATATATCGTTGTGTTCATGTTATTTACTTTTTTTTTTTTTAAATTTTTTGGCCAAAGTTAGATTTCATTGATAGATAGAAACAAATACATCAAGAGTGAGTATCTCCCCAACTCTAGAAGGAATTACAGCCAAGGTTCCAACAACCATAACCTGCAACATACTGTGACCATCAACCAACAATCATAACTATAACCACAACATACTGCAGCCACCAACCAACAACCATACTTGCAAGATACTGCAGCCACCAACAACTGAGACATACCCAAACCTCCATGGAAGAGGAAGAAAAGCCTCCACAATGGAGAAAAAAAATAATAATACAAAATACAAAAATACTAAAAAAATCATCAAAAAACCACAGTCGCACAACGCGTAGCGTAGGGCCGGCAAGCAACTCTGGCATCGGCCTCAGATTTGTAGCCCACGGAGGCTGTGGAAGCCTGAATGGTACCTTAGATTGAAGGGAAAAAAACCAGATGCGAGAAAAAAAAAAATTACCCACGTGGACCGAAAAGAAAAGTAAGGGGGAGGGGGATCGGATGTCACCGCCCCTCACTCCCCTGCCATGGCAGCCAGAGAAAACTCTAGAGTTTAGAGAGAGAGGCTTTGAAAAACTGAATTGATTTAACTAATCCCTTTATAAGCTTTTAATTGGTAATTAGTTACAAGAGACCTATTCACCCCCTTTTTAATTGGTAAATAGTTACAGAGTTTGGCCTACTCATCCAAAGGTGTAACCCTCCTTGAATGGAATGGAATGGAAATTGTTTTGCTATGTTGGGGACATATTCAGAAAAATTAAGGAAATATAACTCATAGAACACTAATGTTCTGATATAAGATATCTTAATATCATCATTTCAAAATATATTTTTATATTATTTTGACAAATAGCAAATTTGATTTGATTTATTTTACGTGTCCAAACATGTTGCTAAAGGTGAAGTGAAACAAGCACAGCAGACATTTGTTTCAAGTCACACAAGGCATAATTGCAACATGAAATCTTTAAACAATAAATTTCACTTGCCTGATCATTCAAGTCAAAAAGAAAAGATGAGTTTGCACGATCATAAATTTTCCCACGCTTATCTGCTTCTCGGTGTGAAATCAATTCACCGGTGTATTCTCCAAGATAGTCATTTTTGTTGACAGGGTTCTGAAATGAAATAATCCAATTACAAAGAAAAACTAGCAAGGAACAGTAGAAATAAATACACAAACAAAGATACTTGATCTTCCTACCTTTAAGAATGCACCCCATCCAGCAACCTCAGATTTAGCCAAGAGGATCTGAAAAGAAGGAAAAATGGTATTAAAAAAATGTATTTCTTAAAAATCAACTGCATGGTGCTTCTTTGAAAAGTAAAACTTCGAGAATTGGTCACCCTTTGTTGTTGCCTTAGAAGGAGCCTCATATTTCCACATTGGCCATCTCCTCGCCTGGGTGGCTCACCTAATGAACCATCCCCACAACTGCAGAAAATTATGAAATTGTATAAATACTGCCTTATGTGAAAGGATTCCAGAATGAGAAGAAAATTATAAAAGAAAAAAAACCATATGAAAGAGTATCATCTTGACAGACATTTTTCTAGGGGGGGAAAAAGTCATATATACTGTGCAGGTTAGTGCCCTTAAAGAAGAACATTCAACAAAGCAGAAGAAACTTATTCTACTTGGTATTAATATTATAGTGCACACACAAACGCATAATAACTCAGTAATAAAAAAAGGTTGTGCACACAAAGGTGTACATGATCATTACCTAACCCAACAATTTCGACAAACATCAGGATCACATTCACGTCCAGCAGCAAAGCATGGGCATTGCCGGCTTCGGCACTGACTCTTTGCACAGTGACATCCCCTGAACCGGTTTTTGCAGCTTTTGGAACACCTATAATTAAAAATTATTTGGAATGAAGATCATTTTTTGTTCAGGGTTCATTGATTGTAACTAATGAAATTCCCAGCTAGTGTACAGGATCCAAGAAAACAATTTGCTTGGTTAACTCATTTCCAAATCTAATGATACTTGTAAAGTTTTCCCTCATACAATTGATTCACAAAATCAGCTCAATTAAACAAATTTAGAATTACTTGAGAGTGGCTGCAGAAGATCTGTTTTAAGCACTTACCCACAATACTTTTCACAGCAAGTTCCATTATGTAGACAAGGGCATTGCTTTCCACACATAGACTGGCATCCACATGGTTGAAATTGCTTACAAGACTGGTTTTTCCCATCTGCAATTCTTTTCCACATTGATGGATGCCCAGCAGACTTCCAAGAATATTTAAGCTTCCGTGTTCTGCCCCTTCTACGAAGTAACCGTGACCTTGTTGGCATCTCTCGTTCCTAACACAACCAAATAATTGCAACTAAATATACATGCTCAATATTAGCACCACAGCTCATAGAGAGTGTGATAAAGATTCACTGACTATTGAAGTATAAAGACTAGTCGCCTATGATTGGCCTCCAACCAATAGAACTACAGAAGAGAAACTCTGGCATTTAAATTCAAGCGGAGCACACAAGGCTTCTTTAAAGTGTGATCTAGATAGTCCAATCTGTCTATGAGAAAGATGGCGCAAATAAAAACCAGGTTAATTCAAGTCAGTAACATGTCGTCTTGTCTCAAAAGTACACACACGGTTTAGTGATATGTACTTGCAAATCCTTTGTCCTTCAAACAAGAGAGAGAAAATCATGAACACATTATGCATATCTTATGTTCAAATAGATTTAGAAAATACAGATTTTGTGTTATCTAATGACTTAAATATTAATTTATGCCATATTTTCTGTCAGTCAACAAGAAGACACAAGCAGCTTAATTGAAAATGATAAGAGGAGATTCCTACTAGCTTAGCTGGTAAACTCTATTGTGGGTGGCAGCAAGAAAGTGCTTTCAGGTTCCCAACTCAGCTAGAATAGAACACAGGTATCACCTACATGCTTTTCAGAAAGGGTGAAAAGCAAGGTTCTGAAAAGCGGTTGCGGTCGCCGTAATGGTGGCGGTGACGCGGTTGTGGTTGTGGGGTGTAAAGGCCGTAGTGTAACGGTTGCGGTAACCGGAACCGTGAATTTTTTTATTTTTCGCACAATTTGAAAAAAACTTACCGATACGCATATTTTTTTCCCATGATCATATTTATTGGGTTAAAAATAAATATTGATCAATTTTTATAAATTTTTAAGTATGATCCAATATATTTCATATTTTTAAATTACTATAAACTGAGTTTTTTACATTTTATTTTAAAAATTAATGACTTTATATTTTATAAAAAATTAATCACTAACTATTATATATAAGATAAATAATGACAAAAGTAAGAGAATAAATAAGAGCCTAAATATATATATATATATACATATTTTAACCAAGCCAAATAGATAATGACCACACTTATTATTATTATTATTATTTTCAAACAATATATAGATAGACACACACAAACAAAATGGTTTAGTGATAGCAGCTGAATAGGATAGCATAGGTCTTATAGTTTCAACAAATCAATAACATGTTCTTCATCTTCCCTCTTCTCTCTCTCTCTCTCTCTATCTCTTGTTCCTCTATTTTCTCTTTTATCTTCCCTCTTCTCTTTATCCCTCTTCTCCCATTTTCAATTTTTTTGTGTTTTTTCAAAAGAAACAGTTTGGAACTATTAGGTAACGGTGTGTAACAGGCAAGGTTCTGAAAAGCGGTTGCGGTCGCCGTAACGTCTCTCTCTCTCTCTCTATCTCTTGTTCCTCTATTTTCTCTTTTATCTTCCCTCTTCTCTTTATCCCTCTTCTCCCATTTTCAATTTTTTTGTGTTTTTTCAAAAGAAACAGTTTGGAACTATTAGGTAACGGTGTGTAACAGGCCGTTACGACCGCTATGGCAGCCACTACGGCCGACATACCTGTGAATCTCAATCACACTGCAAAAGCGGCCGTAACGGGTGGCGGTAACCGCCAAAACCGTTACGTAACGGCGTTACGTAACGGTTGCGGCCGTTTTTTAAAACCTTGGTGAAAAGAGAAGAAAGTAAAAGAACACCAACCATAAAATCTGCATCAACTTTCTTGTTGTCTTCTGAAAATGAACTTGGCATATCAATAGCTCCGTGAGGCATTGCAGCTCCATCATCATACATGTAACTGGACACCTCTATGCAAGTCTTCAAGCCAGAAAGCAAGTTCCTGGCTATGAGGCAACTGCAAAGCAAGAAGTTTATACTAAGGTTAAAAAATGATAAGTAAGCTATAGTATTTTAGGAGATCCAAACATTCAGAAAATATATAAAAACTGGAAACAAACCTAAATCTGAATTCATGCAATTAGAGTATGCATATGAAGGAACAAACTGTGTATTGCTTACACATAAAAATACTCCACAAAATATGGTTGCAATGGTTATGCATATTAGATACATTTACATGTATCATTTGGATTCTTCCAGTGAAATTTTACCAGAGTCGTCTTCTACTAATTCTAAAACTTCTACATAGGCCATCCCATATGTGGCCCCGTTGCATCCCTATTCATGCTCATATAAAGATGTCCAGAGGATAACAATTATTGTGAGGAAAGGGTTACAGAGAAGGCCCCCTACCTGTTTCTCCCAAATATCTCTATTCCCTTCAAGTATAGATCTTTCTCAAGAGGTTTCCACTCACTGTTTCTTAGAACCCCTTTAACTTGTCCTTTCATGGAATTGGATGACTCCTTCAAGACACAAACTTCTGCACTGTGGCTAATACCTTTCCCTTCATATTGGGCACTGTCCTCAATCCCATGCCCAGAAACACCCAGCGGACGGCTGAATTTGTCTGAAGCAGGATCAGTCAATATACCCACTTCATCTTTGGTGGGCACAAGGACATTTTTATCAGGTGCACCGAATTCGATGTCTCTGCCTTCTCCACTTGAACTGGAACCTGCAGTTAGAATTCCATCACAGGCCACAGGAACTGCATTCTGAGCTGATAATCTTTTCTGTTTTTTACTAGAACCCTGGATATCATCTGAAACCAATGTTAAGTTTTCTGGCACTGTATTTGTGGGCTTTGGGATCTTGCGCTTCCCCATTTCATTATGCATTACTGCCATGAGATACAAATCCAAATTTAGAGATTGGGCAGCAGCTTATGAGCTATGCAGAGGTGATGATGTAATAACCAAATTATTTAAGCAATGCATTCATTGAAAAAAAAGAAAAATAAAAAATACAAAATACAATCATCACCTGTGTGTTCAGTACCAGGGGATGCTGGAGTCGTGCCTTCCTCATCTGAACTTTTATTTTCAATTCTACGCAAAGCATTGACAGATGAACTTTCTGGCAAGTCTTTGACAACTTTTAACTGAATAGTAAAGACCACAGTAATAGAAGTTCCCATGCAGAAATGGCAGAAACATAAGTCAGCAAAAGAATGAATGGAGGATGGTTGTGGTGGTAGAAGATAATTATGATAATTAATAAAAAGATACGGCTTTCACTATAAGTCTATATCGAAATATAAAAGCAATTCATTACTAGTTCCTTGCCTCATGGTGAAAGTGTATGACATTGCCCAAAGCAAAGAGAGTTGTTAATGTGCAAGGCAGACAACAAACACATAACATTTATTTATTAATGTGAACACAAATTTTGGAATTTTGTGATCTTTTGCTAAAAGTATTAAGAATGGGTTGCCTTAGATAAAACTCTAAAGCAAGGACTTGATAGCTGGCCCGGCCCAAAATAGTGGGAAAAAGAGTTGAAACAAACTGTCTATCATCATGGTTTTAGTTACAGTTACAGCTAGTGGTTAGGTTGTATACAGACCTTCCAAGATTATGGAAGCAATATGATTTTGAAAAACCAATATAGTTGAATAAAGGTAGCTATAAGCTTTTATGATGGGTTAAAATCAGTGTCACTGCAAGTCAACACATCATTCAGAACACAAATTGCTAGCTTGGGCAATTGACAAAGGGATAGGACTTGAAAGGGAAGGAGGGCACCATGGAACCCCCCACCCTTGCATGGCAAGAGCCAGTGACGATTCAGTAACAAAGAATCGGACAAGAGTTCATGTGACAAAACTAAAGCAACTCCAGAAAAATTGAAACCAAGTGGAAAAATATAGTGTGACATGTATTTCGAGATCCAAAAGAAAAATCCATACCCTTAGGTAACACTGATCACTGCAGGGGTTCCCATCATCATCAGATTCAGAAGAATACGACTGCCTTTCGATCTGCCAAGAAAAGCATCTTTTAGAATCAACGAATGAAAAATGTCAGGACTAGGATAGGTCTGAAACGACACCACTTCTTACAGGGTTAATTAGACTTTGAGAACAACCATGCAGACGGCAGTCAAATACCTGCAAAGCAGAAAAGCAAGAATCTTGAAGCAATCCATGTGGAAAAAAAAAAATCCTAATGTAGCACAAATGTCAGTTTCAGATCAAGTACCAAACACCGACGACAAAACAGATTGTCAAAAGAATCTAAAGCAGCACTTAGGCTTTTTTCCAGAAGATTGTTCTTTTCTGATCCAGTTGCTTTGCAACCTCTGAAGTTTTGCTCATGTTTCACCTGATTTTTTTCCTTGAGCATGTTACAGCGCTCCTGCATATCTCCAAAAAAATTAGTCTCACAGCAATGAACTTATTGATAATACAGAAACTGCTGACTAGTGAAACATACATGATGACACATCAAATGCAAGAATGATTAAACCAACCATTCGCTGAAACATAATGACCATGTTAACCAAAATAAATTACCTGGATCTCTGAAGTGGTACCTCCAATATGTTGACTGACAATGTTGAGTACTTCCTCATTCAGCCCATGCTCCTCGAAGGCCATCCTACATAATTCAAGCTATGAATAATAAACACATACACTCTTATCAGAATAAATTATGAGGCTAAACAAGAAAGTGAATTTTATGTGTCTGACACAGATTTTGAAATAAACAATCTCACGGGTTGAAATTACTGTATTATGGTTAGTTACTAATAAAAGAATACTGGCACAATCAAGCCTCTGCCAGTAAAGCACCTCATGCACCAAGGTCAAGATAAGTTTCAGCTCCATAGATTGATATTACAACTAAAGTCAGGAAAACACAGCATGTAAGGAAAGAGACAATAACCTTTTTAGCCTTGCAAAGATTGTCAACTTTTCTTTTAATTCTTATATTTGTACTGTCTAGGCTAGGAAAAGTTATTAAGAACAGAGCTCCCATGAACAAAAGTAATTATAGTTTATTCAACGAACACAAGTTACTCAATTCTAGTCACATAATAGAAGGAAAAGATCATTCACATAGGTAGCATACTGCATCAAAACATACATTTGAAGGTTTTTGTTTTAATGTAGAATGGTATTCACAACCCTACCATTTATCACCAAAAATTTGGCTTGTACCATTTTAACTTCTCCCAACAAGCTAGAGACCAGCACAAAAGCACCAGGGAAAGGAACGATATGGCAACTGGAGATTTATAGCAATAACCATGTTTTAAACACAACTGGAATTTTCAAATTTCAAGCATTCTGATATAAAGTGGAAAACAAATTCTGTTTGACAAAAAAAGAATCATATTTAAACTTACCATAGGATACGATCTTCCCCCTCGGAAAATTCACGTTTCTCTTCCTCTGGTTCTGCAATCTCTTCCTCACTATCACTGCAGATTAATGCTTCACTGCCATGTGGATCATAATAAATACGTCTCCTTCCAACCACCGACTGATCTTCAGCCATTCTCTGATTCCTGTGCTGTGTAAAAAAAATGAGAAAACAAAAGCGAAAATAAAAGCTTCATTTTGAACATGACGATAATTTTAACACCTCTGGAATTTATTCTAAGCTCTTACCATCATCACTACACAGTGCATGTTTACAGAAACATCCAAACCCATTCCAACAGATAAAACTTGAAAGCTGACCTACCACTTTGCATGTATCAAATCATGCTGATAGCATGTTCATCTAGGTATTGGAAGTTGGTTTCAAACAGTAATTATCACACTAAATAAAAGAGAATCAGGATGTATTTGCAAGAGTGCACTCGCACACACACAACCATGCTTCAAACTTTTCACTATTTCACTTGGAGAAAAAAGGAATCAAAAAATCCAAGTTAAGGCTCCTTGTGCTATAGTGCCTTGGCACTATCCAATTACATCCCAGAGTACAGTTACCAAAATACTGCCAGGAATTTCCACTTGCTGATATCCTTACAAACAGTCACTTCCCCACAATGATGCTATCACAGCCACCATTGCAGTTGTAGGCTGGCCAATCATCCCTCGAGCGGTTATGCACCATAACAAGTAACCAGACCTTGCAACCCATGCAAGTCCTAGGTTATTTGCGACAACTAGGTCATGAATTCTTAGCCATGCTTGACAGATACACACACAGCATATATGCTGACATAAATTCATAGCACAGTCAATCCGTAGTGTTTATTTTATACATTACGTTTTTAGATAAGTAACTCGGTGTTATTGCCATGTCTTGTGAACTGTTTGGACAAGTAGTGTATTGCAGCACAAACTCATACACAATGAGCCTGACTCATACCAACAAAATAGTGTGGGACCCCATACTAAGTACGGTAGGGCTCATTTTTGATTTGCATTGCCATCATGCTCCACCATAACATGGCATGCCTTACTTGATTGACGTGCCTTTCCAACAGTGCTAGATCTATCCATTCTTTCCTTTAGAAGCCATGCACCAAGTGTCTTTTGAACTTGCCAAATCATTTCTTGGTAGTGGCATGCTGGCTATGCCCCCATCAAGAAGCTGCATCCTCCCGAAAAAAGATTTTGTGTTCATTGATAAAATGCAATTTTGTTTAGTTCAAAGCCTTTGATAAACTGGCAGAAAACATCCAGTATGTTCAAGTCAATTAGATTAATTCATTTCTTTAAACGGTCTATAAAACTAAAATTTTGAAACTCCACCTTATATGGGCCAATGCTACATCTTTCAGCATGTTAAATTAAATCAGTGTTGCTGCCTATTCCTAAGCTTGCTGCCAAGGCATGACCATGGCCATCAAAATCAAATCAAGCCAACCTTGCTCCAAGTGTCAGCATTGCATGAGAATGTTGCACATTGCACCCAGTGTTTGGTATTATAATTTGAAAGAGGCATACCAAGTGTTTCCAGCAAAGTCATACCCCATTAAGGGTCCAACATTTGGTCACAAAATATTAGGTTTTTTTCAAACCCATGTCCATGCATCATTAGAAAGTTGGTATATTTGATAGATTGCTGATGTAATTAAACTAGAAACACAGAAGTAGAAAATTAAACACTGTCAAACCTGTCCAAAAAAATCCAAGTAGTATATGGTGGTATCTTATCAATATGTGGAAGCTTCACACTTGTTGAGAATACTACTTCATGAATGATAGTGTAGTCTTTGTCCCCTGATCCTTGAGCAAATCCACTAAACTTGCAGGGAGGAGTTTTAATTCTTGAAGAAAGCATTTTGCCTTGACCATTGGCCTCCATAACTGAAACATCATTTCTTGATGTTGCCACTGACAAAAACAGAGATACATGACCTTCTAGATTCTTTCTGTTCTCTTCGAGTTTTTCCTGTGGAAGAAATAAGAATGAGTTATTTGCTCAGTCACTACCATTAGGAATGAATAATGCTTCTCCTCTCATTCGATAGGCATTGATTTACAAATGAAACCGAAGGCACCAGCTAGATTAGCGTGAAAAGGCACTTGTCAGCCATGCCAGAATGCTTGGGATCAAATCCCACCTTCATCCCAGTTTCCCCTCCCATCCTCCACCCCCCCAAAAAATATAAATTAATAAGCAGATCAAGTTATGTAAGAAACCAAATCCAAGTCTACAGTTCCTCCTAAACTACTTTTATATGATAACTCAAATGTCATATAAGGCATCACAGGCACATTAAAATATCAACCAAAACTTTATTTTCTTTTTTCTTTCAAACTCTTTCACAGCCACATTAAAATTTTCCACAGCAAAAACTTTATTTTCTTTTCCTTTCCTTTTCTTTTCTTTTTTTCTTTCAAACTCTTTGAAAAACATTATCAGGTAGGCAATTGATGCATTGAACCAAACTCTTTTAACTGTAAAATGCTAAACCTTAAATCTATAAAAAGAAGAAAGAAAGAAAAAAAGGAAGAAGGAATGAAGGTATCTTAATTTTCAACTTTTGAATACAACAAAGAATTGTTAAACCATATTAACAGACATAAGCAACTTACTCTAACTGAAACAACTCTGTCTGCTTGAATCTGCTTTTTTAGTAGTTGTATTTTATGCGTTAAAGTCCCAAAAACATCACTTGCCTGTTCTGCTTGCAATTTCTGTCAACGTAATAAAGTACAGATAATGATAACATCCATAGCTGCTGTATTCCAGAGCGTTTTCCAATAAAGAAAGTGGAAATGCATTCAGTAGAAAATATTCGTCACATAAAAGGAAAAAACTTATAGTTCGAGGGCCAATCAAGTGATCTTTCAATCTCCATTTGACAAGTGAAATAAAAGAAAAGCACAGAGACAGAAAAAAAAAATAAAATGAAAACATATTTTATTCCTGAGAACATATCCTATTATTTTTTTAGATGACTCATCAAATGGAAGCAATTCTGCTACTAACTGCTGAGTTTCACTTGACTCAACCAAGAACCAGAAACAAACACATTTCAAAGAATCCACGGATTAAAGAAAAACAGTAGTGGCTTATGGTCAAACAATATATATTTAGTACACAATGCCATTCCCTACTACAGTTTCTAAAATTAAATCTTTCCAACGCAATGTCAAATCTCACAATGATACAAGTGAAGTCCTCTATAATACCAATCGGTTCTAGGCAAGGTATGAGAGGTAGGTTATCATTGATTCAAGTTGCAACCTCATCATGATGGACTGTTGGATACACAATGTGTGAGGTTTCAATTAAACATTAAATTGACATAATCTTCATTAATATTTTTCTTTACTCAATGTTTCTCAACAACCAAACAGAGGTAAAAACCAGAACAAAAAGATTCTTGCAACAAAACCCTAGCCACCAGTGAATTGGCTAATTCTGGAAATAATTCAAGAATTCGCGAATTTCAGTCTCGAGTTGCAATCTTTGATCTAATCCAACGAATTAAAGGATAAAATCTTGCGAAACAATCAGTCGACAACCATAACTGGATTACGATAAAGACCTAAATCGAATGAGAATTACGAATTAAAAAAAAAAAGAAAAAAAAAGAGAGAGTATTTCTCACATTGATCAGTGAGAGTAAACAACCGATTCAATAGTAGCGTAAAGAATTGAAGATCGAAAGATAGAGAAAGTGAGAAACTGACTCTGAGTTTAGATGAACAGTCGGTTGATTTAGAAACCATGATCGCTCTGCCCCTAAATTCAATTCAATCGCGAGAAATAACAGAGAGATTGAAAGATGGGGAAGACTTAAATGAAGAGAAGACAAGAGAAGAGGAGAGCCAAGTCAGGCAGACGTACGTGGGCTGGCGCTTACGTGTCTTGAAGGCAGAGAGTGGAACTGGGAGTGTAATCTGGTGCTATTGAGTCCACGAATGATTAGACCGCATTACTTTCTTTGATTTTGGGGTTGCGTTGGAAAAGGAAAGGGAAAGATCGGGTATGTTTGGTTTGGATTTATATATGAAAAAAAAAAATTTAAAAATTTATTTGGTTTGTAAATTTTTTAAAATAATTTTTAAAATCACCTTGTTTTTCTTATTTATCAATTAAATTTTTTTTTTCTTTTTCAATTATTTTTCTCTCGCACACATATATTTAATTATAATAAAATATCAAATCATTTCAAATTCTCAAATTCCAAAACTACTTTCAAAATTCACAACTAAACAAATTAAAAAAAAAAATTTAAACTCTCTTCTCATAATAATTTTTAAAAACTACTCTCTCAAAATCAAACTAACTTACCTATCGATTGTCGACAATAATCAATGCCGGTGATCCACGTGTCTATTCCGCGTGTCAGAATTAGAACAACAAATGCACTGTTATCGCGGTTGTCTGGATATCTCCTAATTTTCAACGTCGTCAAGTACTAGGTTCAGTTGGGCAGAACTGGGAGTGTAATCTGGTGCTATTGAGTCCACGAATGATTAGACCGCATTACTTTCTTTGATTTTGGGGTTGCGTTGGAAAAGGAAAGGGAAAGATCGGGTATGTTTGGTTTGGATTTATATATGAAAAAAAAAAAAATTAAAAATTTATTTGGTTTGTAAATTTTTTTAAATAATTTTTAAAATCACCTTGTTTTTCTTATTTATCAATTAATTTTTTTTTTTTTCAATTATTTTTTCTCTCGCACACATATATTTAATTATAATAAAAATATCACATCATTTCAAATTCTCAATCTCCAAAACTACTTTCAAAATTCACAACTAAACAAATTAAAAAAAAATTTAAACTCTCTTCTCATAATAATTTTTAAAAACTACTCTCTCAAAATCAAACTAACTTACCCATCGATTGTCGGCAATAATCAATGCCGATGATCCACGTGTCTATTCCGCGTGTCAGAATTAGAACAGCAAATGCACTGTTATCGCGGTTGTCTGGATATCGCCTAATTTTCAACGTCGTCAAGTACTAGGTTCAGTTGGGCATCCAAATCTTCTATATATTATATCTACAATAAAGGTTGAGACCCCCTTTTGGGGTCACCCCTTTGCATTTGATTGGCTAACTTCTTCTTCTTCTTCTTCTTCTTCTTCTTTTTTTCTTTTTTTTTTTTTTTTTTTTCTTTTTTTTTTTTCTGATCTCCCAATCCCCAACCCCCACGTGTGTGTGGGGGTGGGGTGGTGGGGGTGGGACTTTTAAGAGGGTATGAATCATTGCTCTTATATCTAATCTAATAAATTAACGGCGAGATTGTGCCTCCCTCCCTCTCTCTTCCATTTCAGTTTTTTATTTTTTTATTGAATAATGCTAGATACATAATATTAGAGATCTTAAAAATTTTATCAAAAATTTTACTAAATATCTTATATAAGTATGGAATCCACACAATGTGAGTCCCATGTAGGTCCCACACCCATGGATCCTACACACATTGGGGGTGTTTGGTGCAGCTTTTTTAAGCCAACTTATGGCTTCTGGCTTTTAAAAAGTTATTTTGGACTGTTTGGTTAAACTTATTTCAAACAGCTTCTGATTCTAACAACTTATTTTAAGTCAAAAAAGCTGATTCTGAGAAGCTGCTCACCCCTTGCTTCTGATTATCAGCTTCTGCTGTGGACATGTTAATTCACGGTTATACTCTTAGATTTTTTTATTTTTTATTTTTTTAAAAATAGAAAAAGACTCAAATGGACTATAAATATTATTATTATTTTTTATGAAAAATGTAGACAAATAGTGAATAATAAAAAATAAAAATTAATTGAAAAAGTTACTTCACAGCTTATTTAACAAACACTACTCAGCAACTTAAATCTATAATCCAACAGCTATACCAAACAGATTAACCGCTTCTGATTAAAGTCATAATCTATAATCTGTTAAGCTATAATCTATAATCTGTTTTAACAACTACACCAAACACCACCATTTAGTAAAACTTTTAATAGAATTTTTGGGACCTCTAACATTTTTGTACCTTAAATACTCTATCATGGTATGAGACCCATACATATGTAAATTTGTATAGACCCCACACCTATATGAAAAATTTAATAAAATATTTAATAGATTATTTGAAACTCACAACATTTTCTTTTTTTATTTTTTTGTCACAAACTTAATTTGATATAGAGTATTTTAATCCTTTCTTCTTCTTCTTCTTCATCTTTTTTTATATAATATTTTTTCAAAAGTTCTCAACTCAAACATTTTTTAATTATTTTTTATAAAAGAAAACTTTTTTAATCCTTATTCTCTTAAAAAAAAAGATTTTAATAAAAATATAAACTTTAAAAGATTTGCTTAGTTTGATTCTGAATTTAGTTCTCCTTTGATTTGATTTGATGAAATATTAAATTAATTTTTTTTAGTAAATTTAAATTTAATAAAAAAATAAACGAAAGATTCGAGATGTCTTTAAAAGGAAAAAAATAAATAAAAATTAAATTAAATTAAATTAAATTAACTTTCTTTTGGACCTAACTCAACATAAATCAAGACCCTTATCCATAGAATCTCTCCCACTAAATTATTGTTATTTTTTTCCTATCTAGGATAAAATAATAATTTCATGTCACTGTTAATCATTTTTCTAAGTTCAATCATGATAAGCTATATAACAAGATATGATTATTGCATCTAAGAACAAATATATATGGTAGTTTAAAATTGAATTGAGATATAAACGTGTCAGATTTAAATTTATTTTGAAATTCATTAAAAATTTTAACTAAACTTTGAATCCTTTACTTCTTGATTTAAACCTACAAGTATATGTTTTAGAGTATAATCAGTATCACGGTTATAGAAATCAAAATAACTAAACAAAAAAATTTATCCAACTGTTATCTGAAATTATTCACATACAAGTGTATTAACATTTATCAATGTGTTCAAACTTTCAAACCATGTGTAATCCATTCTACAAAATTGATTCATTGACCCATGTTGCAATGCAACAAAACAATCTCCATGGATATCCATTTGTGTGAATTTCACTTAGAACACACAGATAGATTGTTTTATGACATGACTATGTCAATGCAACATGGGGCAATGAAATATTTCGAGGCATTAACCCCTATGTGAACTTCCAAGAGGAAAGAGAATGAAGTGGAGTTCCCTTCCACCCCATAATCAAGCACTTCCCATTCTTATCAAGATGGCAAGCACTCTTGCAAACAAACTGGTTAACCACCACTCTAGCTTGATACAGTGATGACTCACTGAGTTCAACTTCCACCATTCCAAACCTTGCAAAGAATGCTCTCCACACATCAATTTTCACACTTCTGTCGATCCTTTCCCCGCCATCCACTGCAACCAAACTTTGAATCCCATCGCGAAAATAAATCCCTACCAGCACCATTCTGTTCTTGTTGTCTTGCTGCATGCAGGCTTCGAAGCAATCGAAATACGCACTGTAAGAGAACAGTGCCTCTATGAAGCGCTTCACAAACGAAGGAGAATTAGTACTTAATTCTACTTCATTGACCACCATTATGGCTGGTTTGAGCTTTTTGATTGCTCTCATTAGTCCATCTAAACAATCAGGCCTTGAGAGCATTGACCTCAGTACTGTTGGGGAATAAACAGCCACGGTTTCATCGGCTTCTATGTTGACTAGTTCTGCCCTAAAATCTTTCATGTCTGACAAAAAAATAGGGGTGATCGAAAAGGGCAAGTTTAAGGATTGCGCGAAGCTTTCCAACCTCTTGCAGGTTCCCACTATGTCCTGCACGTTTATTGTTTCAAAAGCTGTAATCTTGAGAAGCCTAATTGGGCATTTGTCTCGCTCTGAAAGAGCTTGCATCAAGATTATCCAATGAATTCCACTCCTGATTTGGAGATCAATCAAATGGACATTGGTTGCCGATGAGATGTTCTTAACAACACTAAAAAAAATTAATTTATAAGGCCATAATTTTTAATTTATTATTTTTAATTAAATTTAATTTATAATTTATAATTTAATTTTTTTATTTAATATATAATTTTAAATTAACAACACTAAAAAAATAATTTTAGAGAAATATGTAAATTTAATTTTTTAACAACACTAAAAAAAATTAATTTATAAGGCCATAATTTTTAATTTATTATTTTTAATTAAATTTAATTTATAATTTATAATTTAATTTTTTATTTAATATATAATTTTAAATTAACAACACTAAAAAAATAATTTTAGAGAAATATGTAAATTTAATTTTTTAACAACACTAAAAAAAATTAATTTATAAGGCCATAATTTTTAATTTATTATTTTTAATTAAATTTAATTTATAATTTATAATTTAATTTTTTTATTTAATATATAATTTTAAATTAACAACACTAAAAAAATAATTTATAAATGTTCAAAAGACTATTTTACCCTTTCTAATTGTTTACTAAGTAACAGCATGGAGGGTAAAATGGACATTTCACCAAATAATCTCATGGGATACCAATCCCATGGTTTCTATCCCACACCCCCCATGAGATAGAATAGTCCCATATTGGTGGGATTAATAGTCCGGAGCAAAATTTTGCAAACAAACAATGGACTATTAGTCCGGTGGAACTAATAGTCCAATCCCACATCCTTATCCTTCAAAACAAACATGCTCCGAGAGTACTCAATAATCACCAATGAAGTAGACAATGGAAAGTCTTAATTGGAAAGGAAAGATCATGACTCAGAGACAGGTGAGATCAAATGGCGATAAATAAATTTGCGTGTGGTGACAAATTCTAACTATTATGGAATCGAATCATTTCGCATCAAATGGTGACATTTCAAATTCTCTGTAACGTGGTAACAATTACTAGATAATAATTATCAAATAGAATGAATATACAAACGACAGAAATACGATTAAAACCTTAGAAAAATCAACAAACTGATTGAGTAAAAATAAAGAATAGGGTTGTAATTGCGTCGAAAAATTTGATTAGAAGAGGTTAGTACCTCGAGAGGGAGCCTCATGAAAATCACCGGAAGTTTGGTCCCTTCACCATGTTCTTTGTGTTGTGCTTCTCTAACGCGATGGCATACGTTAATTCCACCACATCCGTTTCCGCCCAAGTTAGGACCACATAATTTAGGCCGGTGATAAAGTAATGTCAATAATTAAAGAGTGCTGCTATTAGCTCCTGTCAAAATTTTTTGGACTCCTTATTTTATAATTTTTTTTTATTACAATTATGCCCTAAAGTAAAATTACATTAAAAGATATTATTAAATAGAACACTCACTTATCAATAAGAACTAATACTCTATAATATTGGACACCCACCCCCACCCTCACCCCCACCTCCAACTCTAACTATACGTATTCCATATTTGTAAACCCTAAACCTATTATTTTTCATAACCAATTAACATAAATCCTAAATCTAATATTTTTCATAATCATCTTAAATCCTTAATGTGTCATCTTCATCACCATCATCAACGCTATTGAACTTGAAAGTTTTGCTTCAAGTATAACGTATACTTCATCACTTATTTCACTGTATAGAGCAATGGAGGACGAGGACAACATTCTTGGTCATTTATCTGTCTTGTATTAACATTGTCGGTCGTTTTCGGTCGTTCCTGTTTCGTTCGAGCTGTTCGGTACTGGTTTGCTGACTATTAGAATTATGTTCAGTAATACAGTACTGAACATAATCCTTTCGTTCAATGCATAGGTTCCGAACATTAATGCAGATAGTCAGTTATGTAATTTTCTTTGTTAAACTAACTTAGAATGGAAAAGAGTGAATTGGAATGGATTTAAGTTATGTATTTTGAATGGATTTAATTCATGTTATTTTAAGTTGTGAATTGGAATGGATTCAAATTACACAGTGATAAACAAATTTTGTTCAGACATACAGTGCTGACAGGATCATTATTGTTCGAAAAAATAATTCTGAACAAAATACATTTTTTCGGCTACACAGTGGTGAACAAATTGGGTGGGTGTGCATTTCATTGTGAAAATATGGAGATTAGTTTTCTATTCTGAAAATATTATGGAAATATTATGGAGATTAGTTTTCCATATATATACATTGTTTTCTATTCCTACAATTCGCATCAATCTTCACTTTCTCATCTGAATTTCCCAATCAATGACAAATTCCAAAGAGACCCACGTCGTCGAAATCCCAATCAACGATGAACACCAACCCCACAAGTAAATGCATTGTGTTTTCAGGAACCACTTTTTAGATGTGGTTAATGTTGAAGAGAGAAGAGAGAGAAAAAGTTAGGGTTTTGAAGGGGTTTTGAGAGAGAGAGAGAGAGAGAGAGAAAAGAGAGAAAAATCTTCACTTTCTCATCTGAGCAAAAGGGGTTCTGAAAGAGAGAGAGAAGAGACATCACTGATTAGGAGAGAGAGAGAGAGAGAGAAGAGAGGGAGGCAGAGAGTGGGTGTAGTTGGGGATGTGAATTGCATGCATTTACTTGTGGATTTAGGCTAAGGTTAATGTTGGAATAGATTCAGGTGGGTGTGCATTTCTGTAACAACCCTCGTCACTGTTTACCGAATAACCACTGATTACCGTTAAACTGAAACTGATTGTGACTGATAAGTGAACTGAATAAAATACTGAATTGACTGACTAAAATTTGAAATTGAAATGACTGAGTATATCTGTTTAATTGTAATTCTATCTGTTTGGTTATTTGATTATCTATTCGTGTCTTTGTGTTTAAACTGCTAATTGAAGGCATTATCGGTTGCCGAACCGGAAACCAATTAGTGTTTTATGATCATCGTAATTTATGTGATTTTATGGTGTAATTACCTGAAAACTGATTAGGTATGATTAAATTAGATTAAAATGAGCTACATTGCATAGTTGGCCTTATTTCTATTTTGCCATCCTTAGTGGCCACTACCTCAACATGGTGAGCCTTATTACACTTAGACACACATTGTTCAGCCACATTGAGAAGCCAACCGACCAAGATAGAGAGTGAGAGAGAGTTGAGTTGTTCTTGAGAGTTTTGGCTTGAATCTTGAAGAATTGAAAGCTTAAGTGCATAATTGAGCCTCTAGACTTGTAATTGAGGAACCTAGGTATGAATTTCATCCTCCTTATTGTGTATTTAAGTTCCTTCTAGCATGGATCATGGTAGAATAAAGAGTTAAGTCTTGAATTGGTTCAATAGTGTTGAATTGGAGCTCATTCCATGCATGCATGTTTGAATTGTTGAATTTTAAGTTGTTTTCATGGAGAATTGTCACATGCATGCTCATGGTTATGTTAAGTCCATGTTTCCATCATGTTTTTGTAAGAATTAGCTAATTTGAGCTTGTATTTAAAGCTTTGAATTGGTTAGATTCATGCATGTTCTCATGTTCTTCATATTCATGAAAATTGGTTTCAAATTGAGTTTGTTTGAAACACCCTTAGGCTTTTATTTTACAAATTGAGCTTTGAATCATGTTAAAGTATGAGTTTTGATGTGTTTTCTGGAAAATTGGCCCAAGAGGATCGAAATTTATGGTTTAAAACTTGGTTTTGAGCTTGAGGTTCAAATCTGGAATTTCCAGAATTTGGACTCACGCTCGAGCAGGGTGACTGGCGCTCGAGCGTGGAAATCGTGCTCCCAGCATTTTGTTCTGTTTTGCAGTCCGCTCGAGCGGAATAGTTGACGCTCGAGCGGGACATCGTGTCTCATGCTCGAGCGTGTATCGAGCGCCCAATCGAGCATGATTTTCGCCTATCCAGCACTTTTGACTGTTTTGCATAACGCTCGAGCGGGTAAGTATACGCTCGAGCGAAACCTTTGTCTGCATGTCCGCTCGAGCGGAGTAACCAACGCTCTATGAAAAACAGGGTAGTGGCCATCAGAATACAAAATATACAGAGTGCTGAGTGCAGAATGTAGAATACAGAATGTAAAGTGTGCCGTGTGCAGTGTACAGATAATGAAAAGCAGAAATGTAAATTAAGAGGACAGAAGGTACCTCCCAGGCTCTCCAGTAGCAACCAACTATGTTCCCCCGTCCGTGGGAGGTCGCACTCATATAGCAGTAGAAGGTAGCGAGGCCGGCGCCACCCCAGTCATACTGGCTGACCTGTGATAGGTCCACCAAAGCACTGAGCAGATACAGTCCAATTGTGTTCTCCCTATCGGATTACAAAGTGGTCCCAAGGAGGAACACCAAAAAACCTCGAGCGTACTGCTCTATCTCCTCAAGAGTCTCGGGCATACTCTCTCTATACTGTACGGGGAACCAAGTGTACCTGACTTTGCCCGAAGATCGGTCAATCGGTGGGCGAGCTCCCAACAGATAGATCCAGGCAGCCTCCCACTCGTCCATATCCTCGTCGTAGGGGATCAATCGGCCGGCCACATCAAGGCAAGTCAGCATCGCAAAGTCGTACGGGGTCATCATCATATCCCCGGTAGTTGAGAAGTGGAAAGAGTTGGTGGTGTCCCACTATCTCTCCACGAGTGCCCCCATCAAGGTCCTGCTCGCAGGGTAGCGAGATAGCCCCGCACAGATGGGCCCAAATCCTGCCCCGTCCACCATGTAACGAACGGTCTCTGGGAGCTCTGCATATCACTCCCTAGCGATAATCGAGACATAACCTCGCGTAGAACGAGAGGGTACTTGTATTCAAAATGAATAGATGTATTTAGTTTCAGAATGAAATGTATAAGCTGCGTGCAAATGAAATGAATGAGCTGTGAGTTCAAAAGTGAAATGTAAGAACTGTGTGTTCAATGTGCGCTGCGTGCAAATGAAATAAGTGGGCTGTGTGTTCACCTCAAGAGTTTGGGCCGCGTGTTCAGATTTCAAAAACTG